CCATGATGCAGCTATATTATGGTTGTAGCACGAATGGGTCGGCTCGAACGGGGAAGGACCACGCTCTCACAGCATACCAGCGTAAAATAGCAGCTTAACGCTGCTGTGTTTCGTATGGTGAGTGTAGAGAAGACCCTTTTTACTGGATATGACGCATTACATCTTAGTCCTCACGGGTGACAACGCATCTGCATTTTGATTTGCAAACGAGGATAGATGTAGATGTCTGTGGGCCACAGCATCCACTTATCATCAGATGGACTGTGTGCTTGTTTGTCACCCTATCCTATAAAAAAAAAGTATAAGCGACAGTAAGAGTAGGCTGTAAATTATTTCATTTCAGTCCTAATGGTCACTGTCGTTGATTATTGGGTTTTTCTGTCAATAAATAGTAACAACCCGTAATCGAGAAGTTGCCTGTGTTTCACTCCCGCGTGTCAGAAAGCACATAAAGCGGTTGGCTTTCACGACCTATCGCTCGCTCAACATTCCACGAGTAACCCGGGTTCGATCCCCGCCAGCACTAGTGAACTTTGCTAATGGTTGTTTGGAACACTACGCTTGAATTTGTTGACGGCTATATTCACTTACGCATCTGCAATTTGATACTTAATTAAGGGTAGATACAGTAGTCTATGGGCCATTGCACCCATTTACTGTGGATTCCGTGAACATTTTATACATCTCTTAAAAAATCACACAAATGCGGATTCAATTATTTTTTTTTTAATTTTAAATGATACCTTAATAGGAATTTTGTTGTATCGTGGAGGCGTTTAATATACATATATTTTTATAGGATAGGGTGACAAACGAGCACACAGTCCACCTGATGGTAAATGGTGACTCATAGACATCTACATCTATCTTCAATAAAGAATCAAAATGCAAATGCGTTGTCAGTTGTTGAGTTGACTAAGATGGAAATCCTCTTTTCCAGTAAAAAGGGTCTCTGGTTCTCTACACTCACCATACGAAACACAGCAGTGTTGAGCTACTATTTTACGCTTGTATTCTGTGAGAGCGTGGTCCTTCCCCGGTCGAATTATTTGTAGGGCATACACATGTTCCGGGCAGGATCGAACCCGCGAAAAGGACGAAACCAAACGCTAACGCGCATAATTTTTTGTTAAAAAATAATTTATTACATAATGCATTTAGTTTATTTCTTTGTTTACGTAACCTTGTTTACCAATGACGTTGCTGGATGCGATTTTACGGTGGCCGATTGCTTCAATTGTTATTTGTTAATCAAGGTTGCGATTCTTAGGTAACAAGATTTCGGATTGCACAATAACAGTACAGTTCTATCTTTTTACTTGACTGACCCAGAAGGGCGATTACCATTTTCGAGTGTACGTATGTATATCCATTTCTTTGACATGCTCTGTAGCCTAAACGGCTTGCACATTTTAACGGATGTCGTTATATTCGTCTTAGTTGTGGAAGTGACTAAAAAAAAAACATTTGTGCAATTCACACGTGGTAGAAGGGAAACCTTCAAAAAAGAGACCGAGATAATAGGGAAACACTGATACAGTATTCTAGCTCATTCTCTCGCAGGCTAAATTCTATACCTAGATGAATATGTTTGTCTCTTTTCCTTTTATTGAGTTTCAAATCAGAACGATTCTAAATAAATTTTCACTTCAAAAATCTCTTTTCCGTAAACTTTTTTACGCAGTCGGGGTTTTTCGAATTACTGTTTTAACCGTAAACTTAGGATGGTGGTAGACAACCCTATGGTTGTCTACCACCATCCTAAGTGACAAGGGGACGAAAATTCCTTATGGCAAGTAAGCAAGATAGAAAAGGATAACAAATATCATGGACTCTGTGACTGAATTTGAATGATTCTGAATGGTCACACAAGTCGGCACGCAAGGAATGATACTCAATATTTTGAATTTTTTGAGCCTAAACGTGGTTACTTTTTAGTAAATACATAGTCTTCAACAATGGATAATTAATTAATAGAATCAGGCGTTACTTTGCGGAAATCCATTATATTAAAGTTGGTAAAAATTACCTCGCATACATCCGCTCGATAAAATAAAATGATGTGTCTTACTTAGTTTGAAGAGCACCTCCCGCCCTCCCTCAATTGCGTGCACTATCCTCGTCACCACTAATCCCAGCACCAGACTCTACAGCACCTGAAGATGCCTCGTGTAGAGGCGAAACACGTGTCGTATTGTCGTCAGTGGTGTGTCTTTCCTAGTGTAGTGGTGTTGGGAGTAGCTTATAGCATGTAATTTGGACGAATAGTTTAAGAGATAATGAAAAATTAAAATAATTCAACACTCGGCTCGGCGCGCGAACGACGCATAAATCCTAGCCGCCCGTCCCCCGATGAGAACCGTGAGAAACCAGCAGTAAACACTTCTATGAGCGTAGTTAGTTCAATCATTTTAGCTTAGTAACTGGCAAAATTAATCGAGTTCTTTTATCTATCGGCATATTATTAACGTTATAGAGGAAAGTCAAATTTTATCCACTCTCCCTCGGGTGAGCATCACCACCCCGCACCCCAGAAAGTGTCCCAAGGCGCGGTTCCTTTCAGTTTTAAATTTTAAAGAAAACCGTACACGATACATGAGAAGTGGACAGGTACGAAATAATCCTTGATAAATTTGCTATCAACTTATTGTACATACAAATGCGATATCACTTATTATATCCGCGCAATCTGCTACGCCTACGAAATATAAACATTTTTTATCATTTATAGATAGTATAGTTTGGCGTGACGCTTACCCGGCAGGGGAAGTGAGAGTAGATGAAATTTAACTTCACTCTATAACGCACATATGCCGATACATAAAAGTACTCCATTAATTTTGCCAATTTTTCCATAAATTGCTATCTCAAATGCTTGAATTAGGTGTCATGTCATGTCGCACGGCTTAGATATGACGTGATATACACGGTTGATACCGCGTTGCATAGCTAGTAATAGAATTAATCCAGATAATTGCACATTTGTAAACCATATTCTCGATTATTTTTACCTTCCGTCCCGATATTTGGCCTGTTGAACCTGGTAACACTAATACACTTCTAGCGAAAGACGCTAGCACTCGTACCTTAAAAAACTGCCGGTGCAGCCAACGCCGTACTGAAAATTACAAATGCTGGCAGCTTTTTATTTGTTTAAAAATGTCAATATAAATGTTGCAATGAACATGAAATAGAAGATGATTTTATTTAATACATAATATAATCTATAAATTGAAGTGTCTGTTTGTAATATCAAAATAACAGCCTTTTACTAAATACATATGTAAGTCTATACGGTGTTTACTTATAACAAAAAACAAAAATAATTTTTAAAATATTTGTCTGTCTGTCTGATTATTTCGGTTTATAGCTGGCACTGGCAGATAGCTGATGTTAAAAGGAGTAGCACAGGCTACTATTGTTTTAGAAAAAGAATTAGGATTCCGCGCAAAAAATTAAAACCCATGATATCCAATCGTAATACCAAGCGGGCGATGTCCGGGAACAGCTGTTATTATGTCATAATTTGTATTGAATTTTAACTTAATATTACATGCATTGTAGTTTATAAGTTTCGATTTTAATCTGCTAATAGCTAATCGATAATTTTGCTTTGCTTTGTGTATCGTTAATCGCCCTTTCTTAAATTGATTTAACATTATTCCATCTCTAGACACGCTATATGCTATAACGCAATGACTATTTATCGATATTCCTTAAAGGTAAAATATACACCACTAGTTAACGCACAAGATGACAGTTTTGGTGTTTCAGGTTGTCAGGTAGGTATATATACATCAGTATATATTTTGCGTATATGGTTTTAACCATAGAACTTGTTATTTTCATATTTGAAATAGCTTCAGTTATGCGTTTTTAAAGATGTTAGAATTATTTGACTACAGAGCGTGTAAAAATTAAAAATATGTGTTTTTTTGTGTGCTACCAAGTTTAATAGACGGCGGTGCGTTTTTCCTAGTGTAGTGGTGTTCGGAGTAGTGGTGTAGAGATTACAAAAATTACGCGAATTTTAATTTAACATTTTTAACATAAAATTGATTTCCGCAAAGTAACGCCTGATTTGTATGTCTAAGAAGTTATAATAATTGGAAAACGATCGATGGGGCAGCAGGTGGACTTTACCCTCACCCAAACATGATATTGAAATATAAATAAATAAATTACGATAAATAATATCTCTACATAGTATAAAACAAAGTCGCTTCCCGCCGTCTATACACTTAGATCTTTTAAACTACGCAACGGATTTTGATGAATTTTTTTATATGTATTGGAATGGGTCCCTAGGTGGTTTTAGGCTTAGACACACACACTGGCACTGTTGTCGAGAACCCGAAATCGCACGTGCGAATCCGGGGCGGATCGCTAGTTTTTGTTATATGTTAAACTTACATACCTGCTTTAATAATTTCCTAAATCCGAAGCTAACTCACTAACTTACTGCGAATAGGCATTTTTAAGAAAATTTACGGCCTTAAAAATCATAAGGTTGCCTTTCTTACAAATATTAAGTATGAATGTGTAGATTGCAGTCAAATAACATATATAGTAAACAATTTATTTTTAATCCGAACAGAGTTATGAATCTTGTTGTCCTCTAAATACTTTGCTAAAAGGTAGGTAGGTATAGTGTTGCTAATAAATAACTTAAAGAGCTCTAAACTCTGTAGATATCATAAACACCAATTTTCATTAAAATAAATATTATATGATTAATTTATCTAACTACCCTCACTTTCGAATATTGCGAAATTGAGCATAATTTGGTGTGATTTTTACAACTTCAAAACTAGATAAAATCACAACATCCTTACATTCATATTCATACTATAAAACAAAAGTTTTTTAAAATAAATAAAAGTAAAAATATTTCTTAATTAATAAATAAAATACAAAATTAATATTAATTATTTCGCTTTTATTTTTATACATACGTATAAATGAATGACTAGGTAATTTTTTTTATATAACGAACTTACCGCAAGCAAGTACAACAACATCCAGGGTAATCTTCCATAATAATCTATCTACAGCCATAACTTTTAAAAACTAGAAACTAAAAGTCATTCATCAAAAAAACGCAACACAAATTAGAACTAAATCACCTTACACAAAACATTAGGTTAACCAAGTAGCCGATATAGTAAAAAAATATATCGTAATGTGCACTTTTAAAGAAGAGACAAAAAACAAATTGGTACATCCACTTTATACCAGACAGTCTTGCTAAACGACCCTCAAATAAATGATAAAACATAGCTCGCTGATAAATTAAATTGATAATCTGTGGTCATTAGTCACACCTTTAGTGACGTCATAATAAAGAAACGGTGTTAGCGCAAATTTCAATGCCGTTAAACTGTATTTCAATTGCTTTAGAGTCGTTATTCTTATATCGGAGGACGTGAGAGGAGAGTAAAGCTGTCGTGACAAAATTCGAGACGAGAGCAATGACCATCAGATTGAGTCATTGTAATTGTAAATATTGTATGTTTATCATTTACACAATCCATAAAGCTGATAATTGTTATGTGCATTGTGCAGTTGTTTATATTTTAGCAGGTCACCCCCACAGAACACTATTTGGTCGTCTCAGTCTCAGACAGACAAAATAATTTATAATAGTATAATAACGCCATCTATCAAATATTGGGAACAACTACAAGTAAATGCCTTGCATTAAATTATTTTTCTACTTACATAATAGATGGCAGTGTAAGAACAATAATACGATGGGTGTGCTTTAGTTTTAATTCGCAAAAAGACCCATTGCATTCCTAGAATGAATTACCTACCCATCTAGTACTGAAACAGTAATCTATAGTGGAACGAAGGAACTTCATCTGTCATCTTCCTCTGTTCAAAATAACACTATGTATCTGGTATACGGCCTGGTTTTCCATCATTCAAAGCGAAATCGCACTTAGATACACTACTGCTTCGCGGCAGAATGTAAGAAGTTGTCAAATAAAATTAAAACAAATGGAATATGTATAGCCAATATATTATAACCGTGCTTGTTATAAAATAGTTTTTACGAAAATTCATTCCAGTATTTATTTGAACTCTGGACCTAATCACACATTTGACAGGTGCGCTAAGCGTTAATCTATCTTCATATGTAATTAAACTGATATTTTGTTTGTTATGTTTAAATAGCATGAGCCAACTTAGATTGTTTAGATTGTCGTGTGGTAGTTGTGTTAAGAGAATCCATCAGATCTCTACGATGTTCTTAGAAGCTTAGAAGTGAATAAGGAAATGACTTAAAGATTCTCACAGCTATCGAAAGATGGAAGAAATAGTAGTTGTCCGAGGTATGCGGTATACTCAGGTATAGAGGTATGGAGCCTGTACAAGCAGTGCGTACTACAAGTGATGACTTACGCAACCGATTATATTATCTTTTTGTTTAACTTAAAAACTATAATATATGTGATATAGGTTTAAATCGCTATAGGTACAATTTGTGTGATATAGTGGCCAGGTACTCTAAACACTGGGTAAAAGGAATCGTCATTTGTTGTTCTGTGGTCAGTCTTAAAACACCTAATAAAATAAAATTGCGTAGTTAACTCTGCTAAATTCGTTCTAACTAAACTAACTGTTCTAAATTGGATCCTAATCTAGGACACTGTAGTCCTGGGTAGGTATCACCCTCTCCTCCTACCTATTTCTACCGACAAGCAGCAGTGCGTGCACAGCTGTATTCTGAACTGAAGGCTATAGAGCAGGAGTTCCCAAACTTTTAAGGTAACGGAACACTCACCAAATCCCTTTTATTTTATTCAACTGATTACATATCATAGACAGTGCAATTAAAATATTATATATATAATAATAATAATATTCCACAACTATCACACAACGCCATCTAGTCCCAAGCTAAGCAGAGCTTGTGTTATGGGTACTAGACAACTGATAAACATACTTATATATTTCTAAATACATAAATATTATAGATAAATTACACCCAGACACAGAACAAATGATCGTGCTCATCACACAAACATTTGTCCTGGGTGGGAATCGAACCCACGACCTCCGGCATAGCAGTCAGGGTCACTAACCACTAGACCAATTCTCCCGAACTACCTAAGTTTTTTTTTTATAGCAGAGGGATAAAACGAGCATACGGCTCACCTGATGGTAAGTGATTACCGCTGCCCATGTACAATTGCAACACCTTGGGAATTGCAGATGTGTCGCCGGCCTTTTAAATAGGACTACGTGTATAACAATAATTGGTTCTCATCATCACATATTTTGCGCCAATTAAAAATATTTTTGTACTAATGTGAAATTATTTAATAAGCAAAATAAATGATTTCGCGGAACCCTGGTGATTTTTCCACAGAACCATTAGGTTCCGCGCAAACCACTAGAATCTCTGGTATAGAGAACCAGCATAATTACAGCCCAACACTGTCAATACAAAGCTGCCAACCGAGAACCCCTTTCCGCCATCGGTTGTCGAGCTATATGAACGGCCCATTGTAACTTCAGCCTACAGAACCGCAGAGCTACTTTTTTATAGGATAAGAGTGACAAGCGAGCACACTCCACCTGATAGATAGTAAGTGGTTGCTGTGGCCCGTAGACATCTACATCTATCCTCGTTTGCGAATCAAAATGCAGATGGGTTGTCACCCGTGAGGACTAAGATGGAATGCCTATTTTGCAGTAAAAAGGGGTCTCCGGTTCTCTACACTCACCATACGAAACACAGCATTAAACTGCTATTTTACGCTGATATTCTGTGAGAGCGTGGTCCTTCCCCGGTCGAGCTAACCCATTCGTACTACAACTATACAAATAGCTGCAGCATGGCTCTACGAAGTTTACTTACTTACTTACTTAAAGATATCTGTTAAAACAAGAATCCTCGTTACGGGTTTTATTCAAGAGAAATTCGTAGCTTTTCATACTCCCACTCAGTAACTAATAAGTCATTTTAGTTTTTAAGGTAAACAAAAGGACTATGGTTTACTCTCATTATCAATATCAGACTCTCAGGTCAGAATTATCGCAATTTCCCAACCGCTGGCTAGCCGGATTTTTTTAGTCGGTTGGCCTTTTGGTAAAAGTTTTCCTTACCTGATAGGATATTTTATGCTAGATACACATACTCATTACAACTCGTCACTCGGTGTCACCTCGAGCGCAGATAACGGCATTTTACACCAAGTATAGTAGGTACAGGTATCAGGTATAGGTGGTACCTACAGGTATCAGGTATAGGTGCACAAAATAATAAGAAGTACTAGCGCAGTATAGGTGTAACATATACGTTAGAAATGACTTCTATCTTGTCCATATTCAAATTGTCCTCCCCTATATGATACACTCCAAACATATTATTTACATAAGAGTGATCCGCGCGGCTTCGCACGGGTGATTTCTGGATTTCGAAAACAGCGCCACCTACCGGGTCCAATGTGAATCTAAACTATCCAGGGAGCCACTCAAATACACACAAAAAAGTTCATCTAAATCGGTCCAGCGGTTTAGTAGTTCAGTGACAAACACAAGTAGAGAAGAATATCTTTATATATAAAAATTACGTATCACGTTGTTTGTCCGCGATGGACTCCTAAACTATTGAACTGATTTCAATGAAATTATGCACACTGTGTCCATTTTGGTCCAACTTGAGAGATAGGATAGGTTTTACCCCGCTAAATGACCCTCAAAAATTTTTATAATTGCTAATTTAAGGATTTTTATAGGAAGGGTCATCGGAAAGGGCAGGACGACGTCTGCCTGGCGAGCTAGTATATGTATAAAGATAATATATCATAGTGCTAAGGTCCTCCAGGGATTCTGCCATAATGACAATATTGTCGGCAAGTTTCTTTACGTGGTAGAGCCATGCTGCAACTATATATTAGTAGTATAGTTGTAGCACGAATGGGTCGGCTCGACCGGGGAAGGACCACGCTGAAAGACCACGTGAGTGTAGAGAACTGGAGACCCTTTTTACTGGAAATGAGGCATTCTATCTTAGACCTCACGGGTGACAACGCATCTGCATTTTGATTTGTAATAGAGGATAGATGTAGATGTCTATGGGCCGCAGCAACCACTTACCATCAGGTGGACTGTGTGCGCGTTTGTCACCCTTATCCTATAAAAAAAGAATAAAGTTGAAGGTGAGTAATGTATTTTTTTCTTGTTTATTGATATTGATGTTATTAACGTATCGTTTATCTTCGTTTATTATCATTTAGTCATTTGACTTCAATTGTATTATTCTTTAGGTAAATAAATAATACACAAGTACCTGCGAACAAATGTTTATTATGCTTTTAAAATTCTCTAACTATATTATAAAATATGAAAAATAAATAAGCTGCCGAAATAATTTTAGTCTAGGCAGTGCATCCGCCATAAAGGTCTTTACACACGTAGTCCTACCCGGATATTCGATAACATCACAACTTCTAGTCTTTGCTAATGTTACGATTGGATTTGGGCTACGCACGGAAAGATTATAACACTAATAAAGTTTTCTTAATAAACTATAGGTGCTAGCTACATAACATATTTTTTTTAATTTCCACACATCAAAATGTTTATACAGCTGTCGTTGTAGTCTAAGAAGGAAGTATCTTGTTAAGCTACAAAGATATTCGGTACATTTAGAAATACTACATTATGTTAAAATTATTTGTTCTAAAGACAATTTTCAAGTTACATATCAAGTACCACTTGATTCTACAATTTAAACCTCATGGAATATATGGTTTTCAACACATTATTTAATTGAATTTTGTAAATTGCATATTATGTCTAAACAAAAATTAAAAATTATTGGAAGATATAAGTTCAGAAATTTTGTAGATATATAATAAATATTCAAAACGTTGTGTTATTATTACTCCATGTAATCATAGCGCATAAATAATATAAAACACAAAACGATTTTTCATACAAGTCACACTTAAAATTATCAAATCGGTAAATATGTACATATTATACACGCTTAAAATAGCACCTATAAACTCTACAGTTAAAATAAAACACCCTAAATCTACAGTATGTATTTAAAACTTACACTAACCGCAATATTTTTATTAAAAACTCTATATCACAGAATTAAAATACACCACCTTTCAGTCTTGAAGACTTTGAAGGTTATAAAATCCCTAAAGTTTAAATAAATAATATTTTCCAATATTCATACAGCTTTTATTAATTTTAAAAGTACTAAATGCTTCAAAATACGGCGCATAAAGAACTGTTAATTTTCGCAACATAACACTTGTACTTCATAACCTCGTAAATGACTAACTAACCTGAGAATAAATAATAAATAATTCGCTAAAATGAAGTGCGACGAAGTATCCTTTTAAGTAGTATTAACTGCAAGATATAAGTTATATTTAACTATATGCTATAAGTATCTGTTTCTCAGGCTAAAATTTCATAGTAATAATCTCGGTGTATTGTGAAAATATATCCGTTATTTATATATATGTATAATATATTACCCGGGTTACCCGGATCAGATAGTGTGAAAGGAGCTTTAGTTCTACGTTTAACAAGGTTGTACCAGCTGCACTAGAGTACGGGTCTATTTATTGAAAAGTTGATTTCTTATGCAATAGCTGTTTTTTTAAATTAATAGTTTCTGAATAAATATTTAAATAATTTCCATGAATAACGAAAGATCAAAACATAACGCCTCATACATTACATTATAGTAAATATTCGAAATTGTTTCTTTCTCCAAAGTCTTGATAGCACCTAGAAATATGTAGAATAAGTAGATATTTTAATTTAAATAGTACAAACGACTAAAATTAGTCCGGAAGTTAAGACGTTGAAAATTATTAAAAATACCATTAAATATTGTATACCAAATATAACTTACAAAGAGTGTAAAATTCATCCATTATGGTGCAAAGGAAATTTAATTAATTAATTACTTCATGTTCTTTTATTACAAAGGAAAATAGTTCAAAATAAAAAAGTTATATTTTGATTATTACAATTACTAGGTAATATTTTTGGGAACCTCTATGTGGAAAGAAATGCTAGAACAAATTGGATTTAAGATATAAGTAGTTACACTAGTAACTGTGAATTATTCTATACAAAATGTAGCCCCATAGAGACCACTGTCAAGTATAAGCGCTTGCGCTTGTGTGATAAAGTTTAGAAAATTTATAAATATTTATGAATACATGAAAATAATTATTAATTAATAAACTAAAGCTTATTTTACACTCGCTAAACTTTAAACAAACACGTGAATGTAAGTTGAATTGTGCGTGTACGCATTCTTAAATAATACATTGCACATTTTGTGTATAAATAAATGAACCTATATTTAAATATTTTTGACAGTATGTACACAAAACTTTTGAAAGTGTGATGAAAGTATTATTAAAAGGTGTTCTCAAGCGAAAATTTTATATTAAATAGCAATACATTTGTGAAATTTGTTAAAATCTATGTAGGTATATAATCTTTGAAGGTATAGCTTGAAGATATTTTAAGGTTATGGTCTCAGTCAAAAAACAATAATAAATACACATAGTATTTCCTATTGTATAATTCTTTAGATGAAATTCGAAATGTATTTATTGTTTGTTTTGAACTATTTAGTTAAATTAAAATAGCTATCCTTTTTACGCTGTCGTTTTTAAATACATTTCTATTACTAAAACGTGCCTAATTATAACAGCTCAAATAACATTTGCTGTTTTCTACTACAGACCATGAAACTAAATTTAAATTCTAACGTTACTTCATTAAAATAAAAAATAGAGCAGCCTCTATTGTAGAGTATAGATTATAAATAAAGATTGCGACAGCATCCCGATTCACTCCGTATTTTCTTATATAGCATTGCTATGTTAAATCCTTTTATTTATTTTCCCTTACGTTATATAAATCATTTCACGTCAAAGAAAAAGGTGTAAGAAATGAAAAGTGTCTGATTTTTAATCTTGAACAGTCATACGCCATTTTAACTCATATTCCTAATAATTAGAAACCAGTCAACAATTTGTTTGTGGTACCTATTGTGTACAATTTTGATTTTAGCTCGGAATTACAAAGTGATCAATGAACGATCGCATCCGTTACATAATTTTGAATTTCGAAGACAGTTGTTTGGCGGCTAAAAAAGCACTCACACTAACACAATTTACGCCATACCAGAAGTTATAATTTCGAACACAATTACGTGACAACTTTTATCGCACTCACACTAATACAATACAACCAATGTTTAGAAGTTCGAATTTCGAACACCTCTCACAAGCACGTGACACACGGGCTCGCTGCTTACCGATCCATCTCGACGTACTCGTGCGATATCCACGAGACGTTGGGCGGCGCGGGTCAGGGCTCGTGGTCGCTTGGGCTCTCGAGTCAGACCTGCCAGCCGCTCGGCGAGCGCGTGCTGCCGTTTGTAGCGTGAAGTTCATTGTTGTGGATGTTGGTCTGTCGCCGTGAAGTCTTGCGCAGGTCCGACACGAATACATACTGTTGAAGGAATGTTATCTTTATTTCGATAGTTGTAAGTAGGTATAACTTATTGTGATGTAGGTACTTCTTTATTGGTTTGAAAAATGTTATGCTGTTAATATTATCCTGGCTAATTTCGATTTTCTAAGAATTTCTGTATTCGATTATTTTACCGCGAGTGTATGCAAAAATACAGAAGCATCCTTATCCTAGCTAACCCGTTTACTACAAGACATTCAGGCAGAATCAGAGACAATTAAAATTAATCTTTTCTCTCGACCTCGGAAATATTAAAATGAAACCGGTCAAGTGCGAGCTGGAACTCTATATTATACTAGACAAGACTTATTAACTTTTTTAAAAAAAGTAAGTATTTGTTTGTTTTGGTCATTAGTCACAAATTATATTATGAATCAAGTTATTAAATTTTTTGAGATAGACCTTCTTTTTAATCTTTATATATAAAAATTACGTGTCACGTTGTTTGTCCGCGATGGACTCCTAAACTACTGAACTGATTTCAATGAAATCTTGCACACTGTGTGCATTTTGTTGCAACTTGAGAGATAGGATAGTTTTTATCCCGATAAATGTACCACAAAATTTTTTATTGCGAATTTAAGGATTTTTATAGGAAGGGTCGTTGGAAAGGGCAGAACAACGTCTGCCTGGCCAGCTAGTAAGATTATGAAGAACAAAAACATATTTGTACTCTACATAATGAGTTCTAGACAATGACTCCGCTGTCATTAATGGGGCCGCCCTAAAAATAATTTTAATGAATTTCTAATTAAATATTTGGTTTTACATTCTACTTACACCTTAAAACTTTCAGGTATGTATTGCCTGTGGACTCGTTCCTTCTTCGAGACAGAAATATACGTACGGCCGAAAATACGACTAGACGGACAGAGGGTGAGACAGACAGACAGCAGAGTGACAATAATACGGCTCCGTTTTACCGTTTCGATACGGAACCCTAAAAAGTATAATATTAGAAATATTGTAAAGCAAGCTTACCACAATGATCGCGAAAATTAATCCAATACTAAAACCAGCCAGGACGTCGCTCCAGTGATGCTTGTAGTCGGACACTCTCGTCATCACGGTGTACCAGGCCATCATGAGCAACAGGAACTGGATGCCGTGACGGAGCAGCTTAGAGCCTCGCCAAGTAAAACGCTTCTGGAGATATAACTGCAACGCGAGAATATAAAAGTGAAATATGATTTATTTTTTGGGTATAATTAATAAACCTAATACGGCATAGTCCACCAGGTCGATTCATACCTCCATATTTTAATAACCGACTAATATCTTTAATATTTCACAAGAATTTTAAGGGCATGTTCCGTGTGCAATGCAAAATGCAATTATAAACTAAATTAAAAGCCATTTAACGACAACACGTACTCGTATAACTCAAATAGAGCAGCGGTTATTAAACAAGGCCGCAGTCTATACGAAAGCAAGTGGGACATGGAAGCCTACAGTCAAATTTAAATAAAAATATCATAAGTTTGCCATCCCAAGGATTAACTATTGATGCAATATTCCTTTGCGGTAAAAATAGATATGTGGGTAGACTAACGCCTAGAAAGAAAATGAACGACACATGGTAGGAACTCGTATTGAAGACACAATAAATAAGTAAGCCTTTAACCGTTTGCCAACCTGCCTGCCAAGCGTGGCAACTATAGCAAAATTCCCCTATGTGGCAATCCACGAGGGAAGCCTATGTTCAGTAGACTTTTATAAACTGTAATTGTAAGGGAACCGTTAAATTGGTAGAGAAAGCCATAGGGCATTAAGTCCGCCCTTTGTGTTGCAATAAAGGATAAATAAATAAATAAAAATAAATATAATGTATTAAAATATATAACTGTAATAAAAATGATTAGTCTCCGTTCAGAATGGCTGCCAGCGAGTTTGATCTAGACAATCTAGAGGATCTAGAGAATCTATATTATTATTATTATTATTCAGAGGCGACAGATAGCAACTAAAACAAAAGATGAGAAACTTTTTAATAACAAAAAATCTGTGGTTGCGGCCATGAAGCTAATACAAAGGGGAGACGGCATAAGCAACTGTGCACTGTGATTCTAAGTAGGTCCTGACGTCATCATAGTGGGCGTGGCTTTAGTTAGTATACTGTCAGCATTCGTCCTGTGCGCTTATGTGTTGAAAAAATCGCAAATCGGTGTATTTTCGTAGTATTAAGAAGAAAAGGATGAAGTGTTGTGTTTTATTGTGTAAAAACTACTCAGATAGACGCTCTGATGTTATGGATGGCATCACATTTCATTTGTAAATATTTTTACACCTAATTTATTAAAATAGTTCTAGAAAAATCTCTTTGCGTCGGCTTTCAAATATAATTAAATATATTCGACACTAGATGGCGACACTTTGTGTCATGTGAACTAAAAATGTAAAGGTAGAGCTCAGTATTGGTAAAATAATCATACGAAGGTGCTGAAATTTGTTTTGCATTCAGACATAAAGAAATTTTAATCGCAAAATATCATTTTTATAGTTTATAATAATTTTGAGAACAGGCCGTATTCTCGTCAAGTAAAGCTCATAAAAATGACAAAAAGACAGGGCCCTAATTAGAATTCAATTATTTTTCCCAGTAATCCAACTTTTAATATTAAATGCAGGAAATTGTACTTAGGCTGATTTTTACGAAATGTTTAAGTTATATTTAAGTGCCATTCTATATGCAAAGAATCACTTAAATACAATTTAATGTTCTTTGTAATATTTGTAAATAAAATTATATTAATTATAATAATTTGTCTATTATTTGTTCTCCCTCAGAGATATTAAGTAGTATAACCCACACATAAATAATAATCCAGCCGTTTCTGCGTGAAGAAATTACACATACTTAGTGTGGAATAAGCTCAAGGAGACAGAAAGAGCACACAAAATTTCGCCTTTATAATATTAGTGAGATAAGTAGGATATTTAGTTCCAAATTAAATATCCTACTTAATATTGAACGTAGAATATTTAGTTTCAAAGAGACTTTATTTTATGGATAAAAAAAATATTTCTTGGTTGACTTTCACGAAATGATAAACATATTTAAATTGTATTTAAGTGATTCTTTGCATATAGAATGTCACTTAAATATAACTTAAACATTTCGTAAAAATCAGCCAAGTACAATTTCCTTCATTTTAATATTGAATGTTGGGTTACTGGTTAAAATAATTGAATTCTAATGGCGGCCCTGTCTTTTTGTTATTTTTTATGAGGTTTGCTTGACGATAGATGGCGGCCTGTTCCCAAGATTATTATGAAAACTACGAAAATATTATATTGGCGATTAAAATTTCTTTGTCTGAATGTATTTGCTTCATGAGATAGACGCTCCGATGCTATGGATGGCATCACATTTCATTTGTAAGTAATTTTACACCTAATTTATTAAAATAGTTCTAGAAAAATCTCTTTGCGTCGGCTTTCAAATATAATTAAATATATTCCACACTAGATGGCGACACTTTGTGTCCTGTGAACTAAAAATATAAAGGTACGTAGAGCTCAATAATGATAAAATAATCATACGAAGGTGCTGAAATTTCTTTGCATTCAGACATAAAGAAATTTTAATCGCCAAAGTGTTATTTTTAAAGCTTATAACATTTTGTGGACATGCCGCCAGCTACCGTCAAGGTAGCTAAGCTACATTGCAACATCGATATGGAAAGATTCGAGTAGTTTTACTATTTATCGGTAGATGTAGATAGTGTAGTGGGCGGGGCTTTGCATCCCCTCACCCCGCAAATTGTCACACGTTCTTACATAGTGAAATTTAATTACAACGTCTCCTCTTTGTATTTGCTTCATGGTTGCGGCCAACCCAACTGCCAAGCGTGGACACTAAAGCATATTGGATAGGTTGTCATGAATTAAAATGAATGAATAATGAACGAATATTCACACTCGCATCATAAATATTTAAATGAAAACACAGAACATAAAAAATGCGTGTCGTCACCTCCCATAACTTTAATACGATCTCATCGACAGCCCTGTGAACGCAAACCACCGGCGCAACATTTACATAATGGATGGCCAATAACGATGTGCATATACAATACAGAATTACTTACCGCGAAATAGACCATAGTGTATGCCGAGAAGGAGGAATGCCCGCTGGGGAAGGACAGGCGCATCTCTTTCAGTAACTTAGGATCCCTCTCAAGACATGTAAAGTTCTCGATGTATCTCCATTTGTTCTCTGGTAGCGTGCAGTCTATGTCTGGTTTGCACACCTGCAAAGGTTAAAAAAAGAAATTCAATTTAATACTATGTATCATTATTCAGCATCACCCCATTAATACTAATTTATATGAGCTTGATCTCGACGGAAAAGGACAATGCTGATTTTCTCATACGAACTGAAACTTGGGACTCATATTTTTCCATTGTAACTCGATATTGTAGAGACAATATCGATCCAAGACAATATCCAGAGGGATACCGCCCTTAGTATCTTCGATTTCTGGTGTTGTTGGTTTAATTAATATAGTGCACTAGTTTTTGCAAACGAACGCACAATCCACCGTTGCCATCTCTCACCCTCTAAGACAGACGATTGGAGATGTAACGGGTCTCCGATTACTCGTATCACCATACATCATACGGAATACAGCAGCATTATGCTGCTATTTCACGGTGGTATTCAGTGCGTGCGTGGCTTTTCACCGGTGGATCCGACCCATTCATGGTGCAGCCATAATCCGCTGCAGCGCAGCCACCGCTAACACGTCATTCCAGTATATCTAAAAAGTAATGCATTACACACGCATCTCTACACCTAAATAAACCTATAAGAGTTACAGTTATTCGGACACAAAGTTTTTCACACCTTGTCTGCACGTCCATTATGCAAATAAGTTAGATAGCGTGTAAATAAGACAGGCTATATTTAAAAGCTTTGCATATCAACTGTCCCGTTTTTAAAACACGCAGAAAATCGTGGGACTCTGATGGATCACCGCGGGCTGAACCAATTATCCATTACAATTTGTTGCGACCGGTTTCAAGCAATAAATTGCCAACAAATTAATATTTTTGCGCTTAAAACTATCTTTGTTGAGTGACAGCTTTTGCCCTTAAGGGTGTAACTGATGCAGCAGGTTTAGGGATTCGTTCATAAGCGAAAGGTATTAAGTGCTATTAAAAATTAAAATTCATCAACCTCTTATCGACGCTCTTACGACCATAATTTACGGTTTTATTCTTAACTAGCTGATACCCGCGATTTCGTCCGCGTTGCTTACACACATCTGAATACGTAGTGCTTATAAAAATCATTGTTTCTTAAATCTTTAATAACTTTATATTAAATTAAGGTATCGCAATAATTTTTTTTAGATAAGAGCCATGTGTCTTAGAAATAAAACTTAGCAAACCTAATTGAAATCTATCCAGTAATTTTTTCGTAATGCGCGCACAACTGCAAACATATAGATATCATTTTATTTATATAGATAGATAAGAGGTTAAATGTAGATGTATATGGGCCCTGTATCCACTAATCCACTTACATTCAGGTGGACCATGTGTTCGTTTGTTAACCTTATTCTATTACAGAGCTTAGTATAAATATTTGCTATGATGGTATTATTTACTTTTTTTATGTGGGTGACAAACGAGCACACAGTCCACCTGATGGTAAGTGGTTGCTGCGGCCCATAGACATCTATCCTCGTTTGCGAATCAAAATGCAGATGCGTTGCCACCCGTGAGGACTAAGATGGAATGCCTCATTTCCAGTAAAAAGGGCCTAACATGATAGGTTTATTGTACAAGAAATAAAAGTAAAACGCTTTACAAAGATGAAATTACACCGTAAAGTATGCGCGCAAGTTTTATTAATCGATAGTTTGTTTGCTTTCCGCTCAAGTATGTTATTACGTCTACGATAATTCTGCACGCTTTTTTGCCTTACAAGCACGTCAATCATCCAATCAAGCGGTGGCGCTCCTTCGCCGTTTCGAAAACACGTTTCAACTTCGTATTTAGGGTCGCAAACTGTAAAAGTGCAAATCTAGGACATGAAATTTGAGCTATGCCGGTTTTCTTTATTTAAAAACGCTTCGTTTTCTTTCACGAGCCCTTTTGCAGAGAGTGCATGGAAACCCCTAAACAAAATACTAGTTCATCTATCTATGAACCGTTTAAAGTTGTTTCATTTTAATATAAACTGTATTTACATGCATCTTGTATGTGATACAAGCGGTAAAATTTAAACATTTTGTACAACCGACTTCGATATTAATTATTAAGGATAAGTCAAAAACTACTGATCAGACCTTGATCAAATTTATATAGGACCACATGAGAAGCACCAGCTTTCAAATAATAAAGAATCATCGAAATCGGTTCACCAAGAAAAAAGTTTTTTTTTTATAGGATAGGGTGGCACACGAGCACACAGTCCACCTGATGGTAAGTGGTTGCTGTGATGTTGCTGCAATATGCAGATGCGTTGTCACCCGTTAGGACTAAGATGGAATGCCTCTTTTCCAGTAAAAAGGGTCTCCGGTTCTCTACACTCAGCATACGAAACACAGCAGTGTTAAGTGCTATTTTACGCTGGTATTCTGTGAGAGCGTGGTCCTTCTCCGGTCGAGCCGATCCATTCGTGCTACATCTATACTACTAATATAGCTGCAGCATGGCTCTACCACGTATAATAGATCCTACCCAGGCGAAGCAAGGGCGGGTGGTTAGTAATATATCAAAATACATGTTACATTGGCTGACGTGTGATGGCGGCGGCGGCGTTTCCTCATTTCGTAAAAAGCGAAAAAAGGTAAAATAGCAAAAAGAAAAACGTGATAGTTATAAGGACTTCAGATAGATGCCTTTATAACCATCGCGTTTACGCCAGACGTTAAATAAGCAGACCGGCTGTGACGGGATGCAGCGTCCATGGTCGACACCTTCGTCAGTCGAGAGGTCCATGTCCAGCAGAAAACTTATACGGGCTGAGTTGACCTACGAATGTTATTGAGCACTTTGCTCAATAACCTTAAGAGTCTCTTAATGAATAGGTCTTAAGATGAACATGGCAAAGGTCGTGTGTGAAATGGACTTTCCATTTCACACATATTCCATTTCACACATAAATAAGGTGTAACAGAAGGAGAAACAGAAATTTACATACATTATAAATAATACTTATTGAAAAGGAATAATATACCACTGGTTCGCAAAAAAGCCTCTGTCCTGGGAAGAACCAGCAAGAAACCCAGCTGGACTTGCTTGAAAAAAAAAAACAGCTTTCAATCATAATAAATGTTACACAAAAACAAATTAGAAATAACTTGATAGCGATTACCTCATTCCCCAGGGGTTATTATCATCCGCACTATACTTGAAGTTGTTGATGAGTAGGGTTTTTTCTTTAATTATTTTAAAACTTTTACCGCGGAAAGGTATATCTCCGTTACACACTTAAACTGTATCGACGAACAAATATTGCATTTTAGACTAAACAAACTTTACCCTGTACAAAATATCTGTCTGTATAAGTCCAACCGCGATCGGTAGGTCAATGGAACTACGTGCAAGTCATGCAGATACATCGATGGATGGAGGTGGCACAGAACTGTTCTATGTTGAAGCCATTGCGAGACGCTAATGTTCAGCGGTGGACTTGGGTTCGCATGTAATCATTCAAACTAAATATATCTAAAGTATACATGGGAATAAAATATAATCCCAATCATTACACAATAAATAAGTATGATAGTTTTAGTTCGATACTGCTTTTATAGTAAGATATTTTTTTATATTATAGAAAGGGTTGACTGGCAGAGAATTTCATATGACATTAAGGCCGCCCTATGTACCCTTAACTTCAAAGTGTTACATTTAAGCTTTTTGAATAATATTAAAATTAAAAAAAAAATTTAAGTTACAATCGCGAATACAATCCATGTGATAATAAGCAGGGTACGTGTGACATGGTACTTAGACATAATCTGAGGTGAGGTGAACGCTTCCAAGCTATTTCTAATTTGTTTTGTGTTTGTTTTGTTTTAATTGTGATTACATGATTGTAAGCTGTTATTTAAAAGAAAGTCCCGCTGGGTTTCTTGCTGGTTCTTCCCAGGACAGATTTTTTTCGAACCAGTGGTAATTAAACAAAATAGTGACTTTCAATAAGTATTACTTATAATCTATATTGAATAACAAAAGTTTCTGTTTCTGTGTCTTGTCATTCAACACCTATATGTATGTTTTTGGAAAACAAAAGTCCTAAAAATCATTCCATAAAACTCAATAAGTGGTAACCCTAATTGTTCCCGATAATTATATTGTACATTATTCCGTGGCCTCCATTGAAAATTGGCATGGCTAACGACCTGTTGCTTTTATAAAATTGTAAAATATTTATTTTTCATGTTTTGCATGCTAAAGCGACTCTGTAATTTTGTGATTATAAGACGCTGTGAGGGAGCCGGTATGCCAGGAGGTTAAGGTGATTTAAGGACACGAAGAAATTCCAGTTACTAAAAGAATATTATTTAAAGGTGTTATAAAATATTTTCCTCATAATTGATTGATGTCATGATCAGGCGTGGATCCAGAGTTAAAGGTTGGAGGGGGTCGGAAGCGGAAGTTTCTCTTTACGCCATTCTCACATCTAAAAGTGAGATTATACTTTAAAAAATATATATTTCTTTATTTTGGAGGATGCTGGACACAGGACTTTTCAAGTTGGTTTCACACATGTATATATGATACCGACGATTTTTAGCTGGTGTTATAAAATGCCGAAAGCAAAATATGTTTTGTAACGGAACCATCAAATCTAATAAAACGTCCCGTTTCGAAAACAATATCTCGAAGAAATGTTTTATTGTATCTTAGAAATTTTAATCGTTTTTGCAACCAGTATATTCCTACAGCAAGGCTAAGTGGTGAAGTTAAACCTCCTAGGAAACACAGAATTTTGTTTTAAGGCCTTTCTAGATAAGCAGCACTTTGCCGACGCCAGGGAAGTCTCAATAACATACTTTCAAACATTGTTTTAGGTGCCAGTAAAGCTTCAGTAATCAATTAGAAAATTCAAGAAGAAACTTATTGTTTTTCCATCGACGTAGTCTTCGAAAAATTTTTCTATGTGGGTAGGTTAATTAAATAGAGAACAATATCGCATTTTTTTTATTTTTGAACGTGCACATACTTTTAGACTATTGCAATCAACAGAAAAACTGGCACTTGTAGCTTGTTGGCAATTCAAGCATTACCATTG